TTCTACTTAGTGCATACGACCAATAAAAAGAATAATAAAAATAAGTACAAAAATAAAATAAAAATTAAAAGATATTTATGCGTTAACGATATGTAAAGTTTCTTAACTTTTGTCGGAACAGTTTATTCATTAGATATTCAAATTCTACAGTATCTATTCCATAAAAGAGCTTTTTCAAAATGTTCCCAAGGCCTACATGCCTATAAAAATTCTCTGTGATACGATTCCAAACGAAACAAGTTGAATCGAAATTCTTAAAAATCGCCACTGATTATTTTACACGGCAAAAAGCCGTCGAATAAAAGTCGAACGGTGTAGAAATGAGGTATGCAGCATGATATTCCTAAAAATAAACGTCTCAATCCGCCTCGGCAGTTCGCGGAAAAAAATTTGATCGCGAAAACGACTATCCCGGCATCGACTCACCTCGGATCGCTCGTAAATACTCGGAATTTCGTTACAGTGTTACACGAAATAGCCATGAAACGTTTCCAGGTGATAAAGTAAACGTCCAAATTGGCCTGAATCGCGATCTTAACGGCGGCCACGCACGGCATCGCGGGACGAGGCGGTTTTTAATTCGCGACGATGGAATCGCGGACTTTAATCGCGTCTTCCCGTCCGGCGGGCCGCCGCGAGGGCCGATTCATTGATTCATTTGAATGTGTTTTCCCGGGGCTACAGGGATCATGAGGCAGCCCCCTTTCGTTTAATCGCCGGAACCGTAAATATCCCGGTAATTCGTTTTATCTTAACGTTTGCACCTCGACGTAACGCGCGCGCGGCCAATTGCGAATCGGCCGTGCGTGCGCGAAACGATTTTAAGGACGCCGAGCACCGCCGCAACCGCGATCGGCTAAGGAGAATATATTCGCTTAATCGGCCTATTAATGACTCGCTTTATATTCTGCGCGTGGGTGTTCATCTTCGCGAAACCGTCACTTCGGTGGCGCTTCTTCATTCCGTCCGCGATTTCGTTGATTTCGCTCAAACTTTTTTGGTAAACGAGTTTCGCGATCTAGGAATTAGATGGTGAGAATTTAGACAATTATAGAACTATAAATAACAAACATTAATGTTATTACTACCATTGTAATTGTAATTATCATTATAAATATTATTGTCAATATCGTTATCAAATCATTGTCAATATCATTATCAATATCATTATCGATATCATTATCAATATCATTATCAAATCATTATCAATATTACTATCAATATCAATATCATTATCAATATCATTATCAATATCATTATCAATATCATTATCAATATCATTATCAATATCATTA